TCGCAAACTAAAATTTAACTATACACAAGTAGAACCTCTGTCTACACACAGAAATCTAATGTTGATATCTTTCTTCCTCTTATTTGCTCATCCAATTAAACATATCAAACATGGATTCTCTTTGTTTTTATTAGATGATATTGTAAATACTTTAAATCTGTACAAAGCAAAGCTAATGTATAAATGCATCAATTTAAAATGACAATGTATTGCCTTTAATACAGAATTACACTTACTCAACGGTCGACTTATTGTCAAAACATTTAACAAATTCATCACGTTTCTCCACAAATACCTTGAAATTTTATGTTTCAACTACGGATGTTGATCTGAAAGCCCAGAATTACATAATTCCCTATAATAATCATAATCTTAGGCTGTTTATTTGTTACCTTATGCATCAATATTCCAAGTGCCAGAGTTTCAGAGTATCAGCCTAATCCTACTTCTAACATAAATCACAATCTACTCTGATGAGTAGATGAGGTGAGAAATTATGTCAACATTTTTAATTATGGCTAACTAGTCCTTCAAATATACTACTGGAGGAGCAATATGACATATGCAAGGCCAATGAATAAAACACATTCTGCATGCTGCACATGAACTCTCTGCCTGAGCTGTCCCTCCAGATTCTTTCTGATGAGGTCTCCCAGGAAACAAAGGAAGAAATCCTCATTGGGAGCGCAAGGAAAAGGGACCACAAGTAAGCCTCTAATAAGTTGGGCTAATAGAAGTAGAGAAACTAAAGTCTCAGTGCTGAAAAGAGCAAAACCACAAATGGAATGCCAGTAATTAGTACTGATATTTGAAAGAAGATTGGAATTGGAAAACTGGATTTGGAAAGGCTTAAAAAAATGTGGATGGAAAACACTTTTGTCCACTCTGCCACATGTTTGCAAGCCAAATCGGACTCATTGCAAAACAGAAACATTCAGAAACAACTAGGGAATATTGATTCAGACAGACAAGACATGTGCTAACAATTTTGCCCATGCAAGAGGAGGGGCCAAATTAACTGTCTGTTAAGTATATGAACCATGAATGAATGCCTATTTCATGAAGTAAGCCTTCAGGAGGACGTGACAAAGACAGAGAAAAATTGCAGACATGCTATGTATCTTAATAGCAACTTGTTTTAATACTCTACTCCCAATTTACATGCAAAGCGACACATATTTTCATTAACCATTTGCCAGGGACTACCTTAAATGGCTCATCCATCTTTTGTGCTTGGACACATCTTTTGGTGAACTGAAAAAGGGATGGTTTGTGTTTGTTTTTTATATATGTGTAGATAATCTACTGTATAAAATTTATGGCCATTTAATTTACACAATGCAAAAATTATAAACAGTACCACTTCATAAGATTTATAAGATAAGTATTTGATCAATTTTAGAGAGCTAAATTTCCACATGATCTGGTGTATAAGAGTTTATCTCTGTCATATGAGATTATATATGTAATCTGTAATTTATTACAGATCCCCCTAAAACTTTCAAATCGGAAAACCTACTGGCTTTGGAAAACAAGAAAATGATGACTCAGGGGAGAAGCGCACATGGTGGTGGAGTCTCTGGGCTGCCTTGGAAATGTCAATGAGCCATGTGTCTTTCATTTTATCAGATTTGCTAATAGCATGAAGGCAAGGGAACAACATGCACACATTCTGAGCTAAATGAGACTGTTAGCAATCGTTCTACCATTGCTTCCTTGGACTATCTCTATTCTAAATATCAATACAGTCTGTATGTCTATCTATCTATCTATCTATCTATCTATCTCTGACTTTCTCAAATGCAGTATCTTAGTTTTCTGTGTCATTTTTCCCTGCTCTCTGTCTTAACTAAACACAGCTATCAGCGGGCAAACAGATGGATGGTTCCTGACAACGCCGCAAACACAAACAACAGCAGAGACTGCTGCTAAATACCAGATAGATGACTATATCTCCTCATATTTACAGAAAAGAGATTTGTTGTCAGAAGTGCAAGGGGGCAAAATAAATGAATCAAGATGGTCACACTCCCCAGAGAAAGTGAGGCAGAACAAAAGAGGTAGAACGGAAAACACAAAGAGCACCCGTTCACACTGAAAGGCTCCGATGCTGGAATTACGTCAGGAGTCTAGTATCGTTCTCCAGGACTAGAGTAGGTACTGGAATAATGGATTGTTCTTCCTTTGTTTTGAGTCTATTCTGCACATCACTTGAAGCACAGGAAGTATTTGCCGCTCTCCAAAGGTTGGGCTATAACAGAAATGCCCATTAATTAAAAACCTATGTTTATACATACAGCAGTTTCTTGAAGCATTGTGACATGCTGATATCTTTCTTCCTCTTATTTGCTCATTTATTTAAACTGATATCGAACATGGATTCTGCATGCTCTTATTACAACAGCAGACGATAGCATAAATAATTTAAATCTGTACACACAGCTGCTGGATTAGCTTTGCATTATTTTCATATAGGTCAGTACGGTGAATTTATGCAAAAACAAATGACTTCTGCAGTTATGTCACAGGTTAAAGACAATTTCAAGAAGACTATCCTATAAACAGTCTCACATTACCACACTCTCACAATAGAGAAAGCTTGTAAAATGTCGTCAGCTCCTTCTGGTGTCATCTTTCCCACATGGCACTGTGGTCAATCTATTTTGAACAATCCCTAAATGCCAGAGTAACCCTGCTGTGAATGGAAATCTGGAGATGACATGAAATAAAAGGCAGAAATCTTCAAGAACTTCTGTGCTTTTGGTAAAATCCTAATGCAGTCTGTCAGCAAACCTGACAAATGAACATATGCAGCTGTATCACAATACTTGTTGACCTCTGTGCATCTATTCTATCCACTGTGCGTCTGTCAGTTGCAGTGTTATTTTAGTATAAATGGTATACTGTTATAGTTTTTTCATTTTCATTTTCGTTTTAGTTTTTAATGTCTATATAGTTTTTATTAACTTTTAGTTTACGTAAAGAAATTTTGATATGTTTTTAGTTTCAGTTAAAGGAACACGCCACTATTTTTGAAAATAGGCTCATTTTCCAACTCCCCTAGAGTTAAACAGTTGAGTTTTACCGTTTTCGAATCCATTCAGCTGATCTCCGGATCTGGCGGTAGCACTTTTAGCTGTAGCTTAGCATAGATCATTGAATCTGATTAGACCGTCAGCATCTCGCTCAAAAATGACCAAAGAGTTTCGATATTTTTCCTATTTAAAACTTGACTCTTCTGTAGTTACATCATGTACTAAGACCGACGGAAAATGAAAAGATGGGATTTTCTAGGCCGATATGGCTAGGAATTATACTCTCATTCCGGCGTAATAATCAAGGAACTTTGCTGCCGTACCATGGGTGCAGCAGGCGCAATGATATTACGCAGCGCCTGAAAATAGGCTTATTGGAAGTTACCCGCTGGGGACTATTTTCAGGCGCTGCGTAATATCATTGCGTCTGCTTCACCCATGGTACAGGTTAAACTCAACTGTTTAACTCTAGGGGAGTTGGAAAATGAGCCTATTTTCAAAAATAGTGGCGTGTTCCTTTAACAGTAATAACACTGGTTGGTTGATCGGCTCAACTGAGGTTACAGCTCTCCTGACATAGCAGCCAGGACTCGCATAATTCACACAGTTACTTCTGACCTTAAGTAATTAAAAGAAGCAACAAGACCAGTACACACAAACACATGACAATGCACACCAATTCCATGCTTCTCCAAATTACTTTTTTTGTTCGCATTTCTTTCTAGATTCTTCGGAGAAGCAGATTAGATGTGGTTAAGAGAAAAAGTGCTTCATTACAGAAACTGGGAGTTGGTTTCAATGGTGTTGTAAAACTTTCAGATACAAAATATTACAATTATTAGTAATAAGAAAATGAGATGTGCAAAGAAAAGAATCACAAATGGCACCTCTGTAATATTTATTTTATAGTGTATCTCCTACAGATCAAGGAGTAAAATGAAGAATTTCACTTATGTCTCCTGCTTCTCACATTTGTCTTCTAAAAAAAGCACATGTAACTCTTCTAGACTAGAGTTGCAAAAGACCATCTCACCAGTGTCTTAAATTATGCACAGTCTGTGATTACAAGGCAGAGTTTACAAGTCTCAAAACAACTCTCATCAAATTGATTTAACACATACAACTTACCATACCATCCACATTTTTTACTCTTACTGTATTTCAACAATATTAGGAAAAACATCTGAGACAAAGTTGCTACTTAATCTAAACAAATTATGAAAGATCTGAGCAATAATCTTTCTCAGTCCTAAACTTTTGACAATAGTTTAAGGCAAATCAAGCCGACTACAGAAGCGTGACTTGAAAGCACTTCACACTTCAACAGAAAGTAGGTTTTATTCAGGGCGCTTGCATTTTGTGTAAACAGCTCATGAGTTGTTTTGGCAGCTTTGTAAATGAGAGATGTCTCCTCCAGATACAATTCACCAAACTAGGCTACCATCATCACACAGACAAGCGCGCGTTTGTTCAGAGCGCATCCAAGCTGTTCGCGCTCGTTCGATCGCTCTTATAATAACTAAATCACATTGCGTCGCTTATACGATTCAGCAAGTAAATAACGTCAAACTTCAAATTGTGCATGGGCCAGCTGTATACTAAAAGGACTTGCAATGAACTTCTGTTTTCTAGGCGCGTGCAGGTATATGTGCGTTTCGGCATCAGCTGTCATTCTGGCTCACATTACAAGCAGGATGGTTTGGTAAACACTGAACCTAAACCTCTCGATACACAGCAGATGTGTTTTGTGTGATGATCATCATGAAAGCTGGTCGTTGTGCATCTACCTGCAGTCCAAACACCCGCCTATCTATGATGCTTCATTACCTGTTTCTCAACCTGCAATAAATTCTTAGAGCATCTACACACCTTATGAAAAGACTTGACAGGATAAACAACTCAACGTTCAATCTTACGACTTTTCGGGACAATTACAATAGAGAACGGGGGAAGGGGGGTACTCACGCTGCTATTTTCCCCCGTCCAGTGGACCATTGCCTGGTTGTGGGTGGCATCCCCTTTAAGGACGAAAGAGCTGCTGAGTAGAGAGACTTTCTCCGGAGTCGATGCCCTCCGGACTCGGGGTCCGCCGGGGTCCCCGTTGTAAGCGCCGCGGCTGTGCGCTGAGATAAGCGCTTCATCTCTGCCAGCGACATGCCCACCGCGGCTGTCAAGCTCTCGGTCCCGTACGTTTCTCTGGTTTATAACGCCGGTGTGACATGAAATCGGTCCGAACAGTGACATCCACGCGCAAGCCAAAAACACAGCTGGGTACAGGTGCGCCAAAACTGCCATGATGAGCGCCTTCATTTAACACTGTCAAAGCGAGTGCGATGCAAGCGAAAGATGGAAAGCTCTAATGTAAGAGAGAGGGAGGGAGGGAGGGAGGGAGAGAAAGAGAGAAATTGAGAGAGAGGGGAAGAGGGTGGGGAAGCAGAGCTACAAACCAGAGCGCGCTCTTGTGCTTGTATAGTAGACAGCTGAGACCGAGGAGAAGAACAGCCGTATTCGCCTGCCACCTAGTGGTGCTACTAGTCAAGTGTTTGATTGTTACGTATAACCATTTAAGAAAGCTGTTGTACTAACAACAGACGCCTAATAATGCAAATAAGTACTCCTTTAATTTATAGTAACTAAGTTGGCTTGGCTGGTGTAAATAATCTTTTTTTTTTCAATCAAATGTTAAAAAAAGCATTTAATTGAAGGTTAGATTCTTAAGTGTTGTTACATTAAATAAAACAGTGTAAAAAGAAATAAGCATTTATTCTTGGATTATCGTTCTCTTTTCCCCACAACTGCCACCGGTTACAACTGTGACCAGAAATAAAACCCATATCTTCAACAATTTCTTTAAAGAAGCATGCTATTGTTTCATTCATGTAGCCAAACGGTGGGATGAAATAAACAGATTAAATAAGACAATGATTCCTTTAACAACTATGCATTGAAATCTTTTATGATATCTGCATGCGCTCAAACTTTAATTTTTTTCTCCCCTTTGCAATTCTATATCATTCATTTATAAACAGGCCAACTCAATACAAATCAACCTCAAATCAATGATTTCAGAAGATGAAGCAGGCAATTAGATGTAAGTAATCCAAGTCAATGGTTACATCATTTTAGTGAGCTGACTTGGCTGTCAAATTATTCTAGTAATAACAACATTTTCTTTTCTTTTTTTTAAATCCTCCCTCAAACAAACAACACACCTTAAGAAACTCTACAATGAAAGCTCATTTGACAGTGATATCCTAACTGCCTGTACTCACACATTTAGCCTACTCAAAAAACATATACTCACAAAAATAAGCCTACCAACCCAATCTCATTAGAAAACATAACTATTTTTCCAGATGATGATATTGTATGAATTCATACAATGTCATCCATATGGAAATGTACAATATTTAGGAAAAAGGTAAGTATGAAAGTCCACCCCTAACCCCTCCCCTAAAAATAAGCATCAATCAGACTGTACAAATTGAATACCAGTTTGCCAAAACATAAAATAGTAAAGAATTACCTTGAGACTGTGTTGACCTGCAGTTGATTTAAAAGCTTTAGGTCACATGATCTTAGAGAAACCATTCTAATATGCTGATTTACTGTTCTGGAAACGTTTCTTGTTATTATCGGTGTTGAATTTATTATCCCAATCTTCAAGCAGAAAAAAACTGGATGAATATTCTGAATGACACCAATCCACAATCTGACTTGTGATGCAGCCTGGAACTAAATCACACCATGTTGGTTTGTCTGGCCAGAAGAGTTTGGGTTCCTTGCCATTGTCACCTTTGGCTTGCTTAGTTGGGGGACACTTAATAAGATTGAATGGAACTGAACACTAAACTGACCTCAGCTGAACGATGACCCTACAGTTTTTCTGTGTTTTATGGCAGAATTGATCTCTGAACCATCATTATACCATTATTTTTCTTGTTTATCCATGTAAAGCTACTTTGAAACGAGCTGCATTGTATAAATTGCTATACAAATAAAGGTGACTTGAGCTGACTTGAAATATTTTATATATAATATAAATTGCTAAATATTTTTGTGGAAACCGTTAAGTTTTTTCCCCCAAGATTTTATAAAATTTTTATAAATAAAAACATAAAAAGAACAGTATTTATTTGAAATAGAAATCATTTGCAACATTATACATTTTAATAAATGTATTCAAATCTTTCAAAAAAAGAAGAAATAAAATCATATTGTCCAAACCTTTAAACAGTAAGATTATGCTACACAGAAGTGCCAAGAAAAGGGTTTTTCTCACTGTTGAGTAGAGAGGGGAATCTGCAGTTGTGCCTTTTGTGTACAAAAAAAAAGTCTTAGATCTTTGAGTTCAGCTCATGAAAAATGGGGGCAAAAACAAAAGTGTTACGTTTATAATTTTGTTCAGTGTATGTGTGTGTGTGTGTGTGTGTATTATATACATTCAAATATGAGTATGTGTATATGTATATATATATATATATATATAGCAGACACAAGTATACCAACCCAAAGTCTAACATTAATGCAGGAATGTGGCTACAAAGCCACGTAACGTTATGTAGAAAAAAATTATAAAACACTGGCACAGTGCTAACAATTCCAATTTAATGACAACATTTTGACCTAGAAAGGGCCATCAGGTCAAATGTGAGGCCTAAGAATGACCCTTTCTTGGTTGAAGTGTTTGTGGGAAACAAAAAATCCTTATTCAACCAGGAACAAATTCTAAGCCTAAACCAGGATACAAGTTAGGATTTCCTTACCTCAATCTCTCATATGACTTACTGTCCAAGAGACAGACTTGGGCTAGACTGACTGAGTCAGAGGATTACTGGCCTAAATTTAAAGAGTAAACAATGTCAGCTGTCTGCTCTACAACCTAGAAGAAAATTCACAAACAAATGCCCTACTTTAATTCTGAATACTGGCAACTGCTAACAGTAAAATTCAATATTGTGATAATCAAATGATGAAAAAATAAAATGTTTTTTTTTCATTCAGAGACTTTATGGCATGTAGTCTCACTACAGTACAAGAATTTCTGTCAATGTTTATTTCATGTCTGCATCTACATTTTACTTTTACATTATCCAGTGTAAACACGAATCTTCCAGAACTGATTAAATGCAATTTCGACAGCAGATTTTAAGTTTTCTGAATTGATGGACCTGGAGTGATGTAAACGCTCGGCGTAGTTGAGTAACAAAGGTGTGAGGTAACCTTCAGTTGGCCTATGAAAGACGCCGTCCCTTGTCACGTGCTGAATGTTTCGACTTTCCTCTCAGCCAAACTACAGAATTACGTCAGTTTTGTCTAGAACGAGGATTGGTGGTAAAGGACAAACCGTGTAAGAACAGAAGCTGTGATTGGTTGAATGAGACAGCCTCGCTCTGCAGGTCTCAGCGTGGACATTGAGTGAAGATGGCGACCTGGTGTGTGCGTGTGATCAGACAGAGCTCCTCTATCATAGCGTCCCCTTTACTTGTAAGGTAGGTTTTCACAGCAGTGTTATTGTGTGTAGTTGATGTCCATGCTTGGGTAAATATTTTGCTTTTACGGAAATGAATGACCTTTCTGTTACGTGAGCTGTTCACAAATGAATGATTGATGCTGATGTTCTAAGGACCCTCAGTTATATTCCTTCATGTGACAGTGTTTAGACAGCATTGTCTTTGTGTGTCAAGAGTTGTCCTGTAAGATACATTATACCTTTGCAGATTAGTTACATGGGATTATCGTTGCTTCTCAGTGAAATTTCCCTAAATGTCTTTCAGGTGTTTACCATATCATTGCATATTACATACAGAACATGTTTCATTGAGTTCAGGATTTTGGTTTCAATCTCCTTAAGCCTTTAAAAATAGTTTCCCCAATAAAAGACTCGTTTCCGACACGTGCTAATGTCAAAGCTACTTCTGAAGAGTCACTGAAGTGTATAACGTTACTAGTTGTACTGCAACTGTATCACCTCATGATTGGTGTGTAGACTATCTCTTACCCAGTTGTAGACTTAGTTTTATACATACAATTTTGTAGAATCCCATGCCATTTAAATGTCCTACCATAAAATTAACCAGTTTAAGGTTAAAATGTTTTACATGCTCAAATGTAAAACTTTCGTCACGCATTCAGAGTTGACTGTTACCCATAAAGAAGCAGTTATCTATTTTTTATCTATACGATTAATATTCATAAAGACAATGTCTGTTAAATTCAGCATGAAATAAAAATTCGCTAATATTACTATTTTCTAAATGCATGTCTTATTGTCAATGATCCATCCATGTATGTTTCATTAGCAATTGACCTTGTTGTTGCTATTACGGTATTATTATTATTAACCAAAATATCGGAAGATCCAGTTAAGATGAAAATTAAGTGTACAGGACTTTCCCGGTCTTTTAGTCCACTTAAACCCCGACCCTGTAAGCTCTCCGTTGGTCTGCCTCCATTTTTGAGTGTATGCCACATCTCAAAATCCAGTCAACAACCATTGCATAGAAGGAAGTCCCTGCCCTACATTTAGCCTTTTTTTGATAATGTTACACTCGAATGTACGTCACGGTACAGAACGAATGGTTTACTTCATTTCATTGCTACTTTAAGTTCCAAAAAGGATAAAAGACAGCCTAAAAGCCTATTGATGAGCAAAGATGCCACAATTCAAGTTGTGTACTTCAGTGGGGCCCTTAGCCAGCAGAGCAAGTGCCATTGAGATTGTTAAAGAATAACATTCGACTAGTATTCTCTAAACCTCCTTTTGGAAATAATAATGATAAATTGTTTTCGGGAGAATTCTGCCTTTTAAGAATAAGCCTGTTTGACAGCAGCAAACACCCTTAACCATAGGTTGGTTGCATAATAACAATTAGGGATGGGCATTTTGGGAAATTTCTCATTTCGGTACTTGTTGTAGATTTGTGTGACAGCTTGGCGCTGCACAGCTTGCACTGAACTGTATTTTCATCGGTCTTCTCAAAGTGAAGCCAGACATCACTACGTGACTTTGAGGTCATGATTCTCTCTCTTCTCACGTCTTTTGATGCATCCTGTGGCAAGCTAACCAATCAGAGCTCAGGCCGCCGCCCAAAGTGCTGCTATAACCAAACAGGAAAAAAATAAAAAATTTCGATCATCGTTTACATGATCGATCATCGCTGTCACGGTCGAGTACTCGATCACCGTTGCACATCCCTAATAACAATGTATATAGCCTGTAACGCAAAAACTGTTAGTGAATATTCTCATCTTTTAACTTCTCAGGGCGACTCCACGCCTCCTTTGCACAGCAGCCCAACAGAAAAGCTCAGGAACTGGGACTGAAGAAGAGAAACCAGAGCCCAGTGCAGCTGAGAAAGCCTTCATAGAAGAAAAGACACAACTGGAAGAACAGCTGAAAGATATTACGGTATTGCTGTGTTCTTAGTCTTAGCATCTGTTGTATAGAAGTTCTAGATGAAAGATTACCTAAAATCTGACAATAAAAGTTCTTCTTGCAGTTCATAACCATGTAATTTCCCCCATACACCCTGACCTTTAATTGCCCTTGTAGTTTCTGCTGTCCCTGAGGACATTTTTATTTTATTTTTTTTAACAAATGCAAATTGGCAGATCATGTTTCAGATTAGTGATGTTCAGAGGATTTACTTGCCTGTAAATCAGCTGTAAAGTGTCCCAGACTTACTCAGAATGTCTTTTGAGTCTCACACAGAGAGCAACTTCAGTTTCAGAATAATCATTAAAGTAAATCCAGCACATTGTCAATATTCTTTATAATATTCCTATTCAACACAAATTTACTGAGTTTTTTTAGAAAATGAAAACAAACTATTGCAGGTATTTAAAAAATAAACATTGCAAATAGTATGAGGTTTTGTAATTTGTCAAATGGGTGTTTTTCTTTTATCTTTGTAGTTCACTGATCTTTTTTTTTTTATTGTCTTTTGCTGAAGGATAAGTACAAGCGGGCACTAGCAGACACTGAGAACCTTAGGCAAAGGAGTCAAAAGATGATTGATGATGCTAAGCTTTATGGTAAGCCATTATAATTATTTTATGAGCAGTTTTTATGAACAGCCATTTCTGGATTGGGTCAATTTGTTAAATGTTTTAACTCTCATCTCTTTTCTTAGGAATCCAGGGCTTCTGTAAAGATCTCTTGGAGGTGGCTGACATCTTGGAGAAGGCAACCGAAAGCGTACCAAAAACTGAAATATCTACTGCAAATCCGCACCTGAAAAATCTTTATGACGGCCTTGTAATGACTGAGGTGCAGATCCAAAAGGTCTTCCAAAAACACGGCCTTGTTAAGCTTAACCCTGATGGTCAGAAGTTTGACCCTTATGAGCATGAGGCTGTCTTTCATGCACCTATTGAGGGCAAGGAGCCAGGTACCATAGCTGTAGTTACCAAAGTAGGCTACAAGCTGCACGGTCGCAACCTCCGGCCAGCTCTGGTGGGTGTAGTCAAAGCCCCCTAACTGGTCGTACACACTATGATGGTTATTGCCTGGTCAACTGATCGGTTTCTGTAATTTAGCTGGTCTTAGGTTTCACATTTTTTTTCTTTGTTAAAGGTGCCTCTGAGAGGTGAAATCCAATATATTGACAACTGAAGGACAATGCCAGACTAATCTTTGTGATTAATAATGATTATCAATAAAAAAAATAGTTCTTGAGTATAAGAGCTGAGTGTGTGTGGTAGAAGATTCGGAGAATTAAATCTGTGAATTGAATTGGCTTTAACAGTATTCTCTGGAGGATCGTTCGTTTCCATTCCAGGGAGTTGTGAGATCTAAAGAAACAGAATCTTTTGAAGAATCTAAAGCTTTTAAAGAAACACTGCAGCATATTACCTTGTTGAACACATTTTATGCTTATTAAACGTATTTGCTCTTATTAATTACTTTACTGAAGAACGTAACCAGTTTGGTGATGTCAATGACAGCAGTTGTGAGATTCCACTTTTTTTTTTTTCTTCAGTGTTATGCAGGTTTTTGAATTTATTTGTATGAGAGAATAGTTAGTCTTCTTTACAGAACTTGGATTAATATTTTATCCAAAAATAAAATGAATAATTTAGATTCCCCTTTTTTTTTTTTTTTCAGTGTTATGCAGGTTTTTGAATTTATTTGTATGAGAGAATAGTTAGTCTTCTTTACAGAACTTGGATTAATATTTTATCCAAAAATAAAATGAATAATTTTACAATAATTTACCTACTGGCAGTTGTACTTGCTAACTTTCACCATTAGTTTCATAGTGTGCAAACCTGATGAAATATCAACTACTGATGTTTTATGAAGATCTGGGTAACAGAAGGATGGCCACTTAAGGCTGCTTGAGAGATCAGTCATTTAGAAACTGTGGTTGTAATATGAAAAGAATGATGCCATGCTAATGGAAAAATATGAACGTCAGATTTAAAAGGGTAACTTTTCCATCTATGTGAACAAGCAGACAACTGTCAAATAAAGCATGTACCTCTTTTCAAATGTAGTCATTATTACATTTTCAATGGGTTTGTTATTCATTTTTGGTGAAAAGAAAGGTGCAATGGTATATTAAGGTTATCTGAATGGAAGTATATAGTGTACATACTTGGATATATTTCTTATATAAAAACATGACTGTTTAAAAATTACTATGAATTGCAGTTTTCTTATAGATTCTATTTAGATTATGCCTTCTGATATGAACATTTTTTTACAGGTTTAGGCAAGGCACCTTTTTTTTTTTTTTACTTAGGTTATATTTCAACACTTTAATACAAAGTAGGAAATAACATGACATATGCAATAAAATACTTTCCATATACTCAACATTTTGACAAATATGATCCTTCCAAATGCATAATTTTACCAGAAAACATGTCATAACTACGCAAAAAATTTTTTTTTTGAAATGTCACATTGTTTTTAAAAACAATTATAAAAATGTACTTGCGATAGTGTCATGTTCAGTCTCATATCCCTGCTCACATTTTCTTTCAAATCGGTTTTTACTTTAGAAAAATAATTATGCTGTATGAAATAGCATATTGAATGATTATTTAAAGTGTAAATATTAACCATAATAAACTGGTCAATTTTTCCTTAAAAAAAAAAAAACGTTGGTGTGCGTGACTAAACTAGTCTTGGAAGAATGGTTTGGGTTCTTTAACCAGTGATCCTGTTTCCTATAACCATAAAGCACAACCTGAAGAATAACACTTTCTAAAAATGTAAGCACCTTTATACAAATGAAACAAAGGCAGTGACAGAATACCATGGAAATAGAAGAGAACCATCCGCATTTGCATCATAATTTCCTTATATAACACAATGTCTTCATACCTACATTCATCATTTATCAAATGGTCACAGCCAATATCCTACATATATCTTGGATGAGTTTCTCTCCTAGTACAACTCTGCATATCTACTTTTAATGGCTTTAGTCATAACAAATTTGTGTGGGGTAGTTCCTTCTATCATAGAAATGTGAAGAAAAACAATCAATCAGACACCTAAATTAAACCTTAACCTTTGTACATTTTTGATGTGGTACAATTTAATATTAAAATATAATATTAATTACAAGCAAAAGGAATAAAAACATCAGCCAGGGTAAATATGCTTCAAGGCACAAAACATAAGCATACTCAACAATGAATGACTGTTTATGGGACTTTATATGTAACAATGTCTGGGGCAAAAATTACAGGGTATAAAAAAAGATGAGGACCACCACCTTGGCCTAAACACTGTTATTTCCAATATCGTATACATAAAAAAAAAAAAAAAAGGCTAAAAGTTAGACTGCACCTATCTATTCTATTTGACTCTTAATATATTAAACATTTCAAAACTATGTAAAACAATTTAAACCTTTGCATTGGCCTCTGTGAACAGTGCTTTTCTTAGTTTTCTACAGCTTTGGGGTAGACACAAGCAGTCAACAATAACATTAAAAATCATGGGAAAATATGTTTATCTAAGATTTGGCATTGCATGAAGATTTTGTCAAGGCATTTGAAAATTTTAAAAAATTTAGTATGTAGTTGTAACATACAGTCTCAGCTTATAAATCGTGTACATGTTGAGATGAGAACCCTTGATGCTTTATTTCACTTTACCCAACAAACAGAATAATACTCTCTTGAAACAGGAGCATCGTGGTAAATGTTCTCCATTGGTGATCAGGGCCTGGATGTGTGCCATTTAACTTGAGCCTCTGAAACATGCTCAATAGTAACATAACCTCGCAAAGATCAACTCCAAAAAATAATAATAATCAAACATGAACTTTTAGACATTTAGATAGTATGGAGCATGCTTCGTGTGACTCACATTCCCACAATTGACACAACAAAATACATCCAACTGAAACAGGCAAATTCAGGTTAGAACACAGGAAGTTTAGACTTTTGGCAAGCAGAACAAGGATCTGACCTAATTTCCTTATTACAAAAAAAAAAAGAAACTCAGAACCAATTTTAAAAATCTGCTTTGTACAACAATAAACATTCTGTTTATACTCTATTGGCAGGGAACATTCAACACCACTCCAAATCACATTCAAAACGGAGGCATTTTAACGTGGGGCAATGGGTTTTTGTGTGGTTATTCTGATGTATTACACAGGACAACTTGCTGGAAAGTTCCCTATGGATACTGATTATGTACTATAACCATGTTTATGTTTCGATGAGGAGATCTGAGATCAAAGACAGACATGTTAGACTCACTGAAGGTCCACAACCAGTAGTGTGGCACCTACAGTCATTTAGTTCTCACAGGCTTTTCTGAGATGCAATATAAAACAGTAGAAAAATATATTTACAGCTATTATTCTTACAGCCAAATCTTTGGACAGTGCCGCTAGGAGGCTTCTCGGGATATCCAGCCGCTCTCTGACAGGAAATTCAGAATCCTTTTTTTCAGCACCTTGTCCAGGTAGCTGGGTAGGCGGCTTTTCGAGGGAATGCCTTGCCTTTTCTGTAAGTGATCTTTGATGATGATAGTCTTGACAGTCAGATAGCGTGTGGGACTTAGGTTCATAGAGTTACACAGTACCTTCTCCCGATCGGACAGCAGCTCAAAGCCAGACAGGTTCTCGATGGCTGAGAACTCACTGTCCTTCCCCTCCTCCTTGATGGCACTGACGCCTCCACCTCCGCCAAGCCCACCTCCTGCTCCAACTCCTCCTCCAAGCCCGGCCGCTCCTCCTCCGCCGCTGCTACCTCTCTTTGAACCAGCAATACTTTTATTTTCTTTCCGTTTTTCTCGTTTGTGACGTGCCGCCTCATACTCGGCCGACTCGTCGAGTCTCGTGATGCCATTCCGCCGATAACGCTGAAGCTCCCGAACTTTCGCCCGCAGCATGCGCTCTTTGTGCATGTTATCGAAGAATTCTTCAAACTCACGTTGTGGCATGAACTGGCAAAGGGCACGTAGTTTCGTCCGTTGCTCTTTCTCTTCCTTGGTGATTTTGCGTTTCGGTGTTGCTGCTGAAGAGGAGCCCAGCGACCCTGTCGGAATGATGGTGGTGCCACCTCCCAATCCTACAGCTCCACCTACGCCTCCAACCCCCCCTGTCCCACCTGGTCGTTCTCGCTCTTTATCCTTTTTGTCCCGTCCCTGAAAGGCTGGCACTAAATTGTAATCACGAGCTATGTTTTTGCGTCGCTGGCGCTCACGCAGCTTACGCACGTACATGTCCACATGGGCTCGTTTCATCTCGATCTCGATATCTTCATCATCGTAGTTTACAGACAGGCCACTGATGAGTTTCTCTGCCTCATGGTCATATTCGATCTCGTAGTCGTCACGAAGCGGCATATATCCCAGCTGCTGCTGCTCTGCCACAGATATGTCTAATGGGGGCAACGGGGTAGTCAAACTAGGAGACAGCGGACCTCCGCTGGGACAAGTGTGGTCTGTCACGCGGTTGGGGATGCTGTCAGGGATGCAGGCTTTACCCAGATTCCCATGGATATACATGCTCACATAATGGTCCATGCCCTCCTGAGGGGTGCGTGATGCACCCACATGGGCTGCCATATCCTCCTAACACACAGAAATAAACAAAGATACAGAGTTAGTTCATTCAAACATTAAATTCTGTCATTTACTCTCCCTCATGTCAGTGCAAATGCATATGTCATTCATCTACAAATCACAAATAAAGATGACAGCTGTCTCTTTAGAAGACATAAATTAAACCACTCGATTCATATGGATAATGTTTACAATGTTTTTTGAAGCATCAAAGTTTTGGTGACATGGACTTTCAATTGAGGGACAAAAATCTCATCATGTTTTATAAAAAAAAATACCATCAGGTTGTGTTTAGAAGATAACAAAAGCCTTATGAGTTTGAAACGATATGAGGGTGAGTAAATAAACTAAGCCTTTAACATACAGATCATAATAATATCAAAGTTACAAACTCAAACATTATTATTATTTCTTAACATACATTATATTAATGCAAATATAACTTAATGAATATAACCTGCTTTCAGTAATAGTGCACAGTACAGTTTGTTCTCTCTGTGGAAACTCTATATTGTGCAGTTTATTATGAATGAGCAAAACTTTAAATGGGTTGTAAAATTCATTTCTGCAATTCATTTCATTGGGTTAAATAATCCTGTAATACAATATGCAGCACAGACCTAGGGGATATGCTTGGTTCTTAAAAAAACTATTTCTAAGTTTCTTCAACTAAGCAATGCATCATTTGTTGCAGACTAAGCATGACCATTGTGTATTGATGTGCACATTTGGCCATGCAAAGGAAGTTTATTAAAGACGCATCAATATGGACTCATTTGAGAATCGTACCCAGTTACCAAATCCATATTGCTCGATGGCATCGAGCAGCGACTGCTCTTCCCTGCTAGTCCATCCTCCCTCTGCATCGGGACCCCAGAGCGAGAAGCGCCCGCCGTCAACTTGCTGATAGCCATGCCATCGCCTGTGGTTACCGATTTCGGCACCTGCGGAGAAGCACTCCGGACAAAGTTCAATATCCTGGCATTCGGCACAGCGAATCCGCAAATTCGTAACATCTGCCAAGCAGTTCACGCAGTACTTCTTCCCTAGGTCGGCCATATTGCTTACTACCGCTTGTTGTTGGAAGCAGCAGTGGCTCGGGGCTGGGCATGCGCAGTGGAGTATCTCCGGTCACGCCGCTGCGTCTTATTAATATTAATAAGGACACAGCGAACGCCTGCGATTGGCTCTCGCTCTGGGTGCCCATGGCAACAAGCACGCACTCCCGTACAGACACAAAATAGTTGAGGCAAGCGTCTTTCATGAGCTAAACATTGAATTACATTAAAGAAATTACATGTAATTATTTTAATAATTAAAAAAAACTTTGTAAATTAAATCATATAAAATGGAAGAGGAGTCATTAGAGCTAAAACATGAAGAAAGTCCTGTTTTAGAAAATACTCTGGTGGAAAACACTGAAACAATTGAGGATCCAACAGAGGCAGGAAGTGCTCAGGTTGGGGAGGAAGAATCTGAAGAAACTGAACCTCTTAACATCTCAGAAGGTGTTGAGGATGATGTGGTCAAGCAGGGTTCACAGCTGACAGAAGACATGTCTATTGTGGAGACAAGTGAACCACAGATATCTGAAACCGAGTTTGGGCAACATATGATAACAGAAGAGGAGGATGGAATAGAACCCCTTATAAATGAGACCTTGGAGGACACTGAGGGTCCTGAAATAGGACATTTTATTGACGATCTTCTATCTCGTGAGGACACTGAGGAGGAAGAGGAGGGGGATAGACATCCAGCTCCTGACCCAGAGAGAGAGAGGACCAGCCCTCCTAATGAATCAACGGTGCCTGCAGAAGAAGAGGAGACTGGCCTCAACATCAACACTACAGAATATATGGCCCTGCTACCTGAACTACAGGCTGAGAGTGAAACACTCAGCAAGCTAAATGGTCAGCTGCAGACCAAAATAGCAGAATACCTCAGTAAGAAGGCAGGTGATAAACATCCCAGACTGGACGGAGATATCTCAGACCAGGAGCAGTACCAAAAGTACCTGGATCTCACGGAGGAGCTAAAAGTGCAGCACCACCGTGTCTCAGAGCTCCACCAACAGCGAACTGAGGAGCTCCGCCAGCAGAGCTTAGAGAAACTGAAGCAGGTGGAGCACGAGCTGAGATCCCTAGCTGCACTGAAATATGAAGCTGCCATGACAGCACTGACCGGTAAGGTGGGCAAACAGGCAGCACTGGCAAAGGTGGAGAAGCTGCAGTCAGACGAACTGAAGCAGGAAGACAAGCTGGCATCCGTGCGTCTCAACAACATCAAGCTCAAGAACAAAATATGTCAGCTTGAGACGGAACTTAAATCCAAGCGTGAGCTTGCTGATGGCTTGCTGCTGATGGACTTTGAGCAGCTCAAAACAGAGAACCAGGCATTTAAAGACAAGCTGAAGGAGCGCAGCGAGGAGCTACTTAGGCTGAAAAGGAAGGTTGCCTGCTCTGTGCAGGTAAATGAGATTTTTTTTAAATGAATGAATGGATGTGTTTGTGCATATTTTCCACCTCATTTCAGGAGTGATTCACAAGTAGTTCTCAATGAGGATATTTTTATTTAATAATTATCACATATCTAATAAGGAACTACCTTTCTCCTAAATTTGCTACTACTTACTGTTTAGTTAATCTCGCTTCTCTATTAGTTAATAGTATTAAGTTAAGTGTTAATGTAGTACTACCTATTACTTCCTGCTTGATACTGAACTGACACGAAGCAGAGATCATAATTGTGAACTAATTCAATCATGAGCTTGTCAGCATCACTTCTTAATTATTAACATTTTTAAGTGAATTTTCATTTTTATTACTATTCTGTTTAAGTTTGAACATCCATCCTTTGGTAAGAGTAGTAGTCACAATTTTAAAATGCAGCCGACTTATCATATAATATCATATTCATAAATTAGTTTCCACAAAGAACCCAATTGTTCACTTTTAAGATGTTACTGTTGTGATTAGTAATTAATTGGTTATTCTTTATTAACTGGTCATAGTTCAGAAGTAGTTCTCAATGAGGATATTTTTATTTAATAATTATCAAATATCTAATAAGGAACTACCTTTGTCCTAAATTTGCTACTACTTACTGCTTAGTTAATCTCGCTTCTCTATTAGTTAATAGTATTAAGTTAAGTGTTAATGTAGTACTACCTATTACTTCCTGCATAGTTACTTGTTAACAACGGACCATTATTCTAAAGTGTTACCGTGAAATTTGTTTTTGTGGTCATCAGGAGCATGTCAATGTTAAAAATAAATTATATATTAATATATTGAAATAATTATATATAATTATTATTAATAAGGTAATAATAAAAAATATTTTATATAAATGTATTAATAAA